TATTTAAATAAAAAAGTTAAAGAATTAATTGCAACTATAGTCCCAATTTTTTTTAAAAAAAAAGTGCGAATGAGTCTCCAATAAATTATTAAAAAATTTAATTTCTTATAATAAAAAATTCAAACGAGTCCCAATTAAAAATTAAAAAAATTAAAAAGTGTAAACAAGTTCCAAATAAATTATTAAAGAATTAGAATTTAAAAATTATTTAAATATGAGGGTATATTCATTATTTCAGAGTTCTTTATTGAGAAATTGGATGGAAATGATGTTGTGCACAATAAAATGTGTAATTACCAAAAAATAAAAGTTATGGACTTTTTTCGCAATAAATGTGAAAGATAGGAAAATTATTTGTTAATTACCTTTTTAATAATTTATTTGGGACTCATTTGCGCTTTTCAAAAAAATTGGGACTATGATTGTAATTATCTTTTTCTTTTTCCTTTTATTTTATTTAAAGGAAATGGTATTTTCGTTATTTTACAATTTTTAATTGAGAAAATGAATGAAAATGACATTTTGCTCAATGAAATATAGAAATAAAGATGAAAATGTCAAAAAATAAAAAGCGTGGACGTTTTCCACGATAATAAGGACTTTACGTGCTAATTACCTAAATAATAATAATGACTCGACACAATATTTCGGCTAGGCACTAAGAACACGCACGCACAGAGATGCCGTTGGTTGGCCGTTAATGAGAAGCAACAGCACCGGTGACATATTTTTCTACTCACCAGAATCCAAGAAAAAACATTGGAATTCAATTTTGAATTTACGACTACTTTCTCAGTTCTTGTTTATCCGTAACTCAATCAGTCAGATTGAAATCATCCTCATCACGTATTCGTATAAAATACCCGGCATTGGCTGTTGATGAAGTTCCACATGGCTCTGCAGATCTTCCATTCTCTTTTTTCCTTTCTCAGGTGACCCATCTTTGTTTTCTTTACACCCTTTTGATATTAAGCGAATTTACTGTCTTTGGCATATTTTCTTGTAAAATCTTGGTAGATT